ACTCCGCACCTTGGGCACAAGACCTCTCCTGATGCGATCCAGGTACTCTCTCCTGGTCGGGTTCAGGGGCTTGTGACACGACTCTTTGAGATCGCTCCGAAGGTTGTGGGAACAAAAGAAAGCGCACTTCCCGCAGAACCAGAGCCCCAGAGTGTGATGATAAGTTAATTCGTGCGATTCGTGCGCCCGCCCCCCAGCTAGGTGCAGCCTGACCCCCTGAGGCTTATGTGAGACGACGGAATCGACAGTGATTAAATCGAAGCAGGGCGTGCCAAACCACTCTTTGGCAGTGGGACGAGTGGCACTACTATGACAACGGGTGCATTTAAACCCGCACTCACTTAGGGAATGGGACGTGCTGAAACGTGCTGCTACTAAAGGATTGAGAGGGGGAGGCGGGGGAGGCGGAGGGGCGGGTGCCTCAGCATCACCTCGTGCGACAGCACTTCGAACTTCACGCCCGGCGGCTTTTTCAGCGGCAGCTGCATCAAGGGTGGCTCGAAGGAGTCTCCTCCGAACAAGTCCGACTTTGCGTTCGCAATCAAATATGCGTGCACGAACTGATGAGGCGATCCTATGCCTCCCCGCTGCGCCGTCTGCCAGCGCGTCAGCAACAGCATTTCCAATCAACATCCAGTTGTCCACGTGCTTCTTGGCCGCATCTTCAGCTGAGAGGTGCGAGGTGATCTGCAAAACGACAAACTCCGATGGATCACGCTCGCGAAAGTGCTGGCCAACTGCACTCCATAAAGTGCTCAATTCTCCAGAACATTTCCGATGCTGCTTGTCATGCCAGCCTCTGCAGACGGACTCGTTGTCAGTCACGAAAATAGTCGGTCCTCTCGAGCCACGGGCTGCCCACTCCAGCGCTTGCAACTCACCGCGTGGAACAGACTGCGCTCGCCCTGTCAGAGGTCCCGAGACTGTGATACCCACATTCGCATGAAAAGTGCTTGCGGTAACTGCAAGCCCGATGCCCACACGCCGAAGAGCTGGATGCCCGTTGTCACCGCCACCCGACGCGTCACCGCATATCAGGAGAGGCTCTGCCAGCGTGCCTTCTCCAAGACTCCCAGGTGACAGCGTCGTGTGATTAGAGTTGGTGATGACCAGCTCCTCAACTTCGGCAGGCGGCGGCACACGGGTACGATCTGCTGGAATGATGCCTCGAAGCCAGAATGCAGGGAGAGCTTCGGCTTCAGCCACAGCTTGCGGAACGATGTCGTCCGTCGTGTTATAAGCCTTGGCACCATGATTGGCCCGACATAGCCAACCTCTGTGCAGCGTCGTCTCAGGTGCCTCCTTGCGCCGTGGGCGTAAGGGCGAGGGGCAAAGACCATGGTCGTACTTGCGCTGCCTAGTCCAGCAGCCGTCTGTGGCGATGGTGAGAAGAAGCTCGGCAAGCTTGGCTCCGTGCGGCATCTCCCGCAAACGAACAATGCGCATGCGCAGTGAGTCATTGTCTGCGCCCAGCTCGAGCCCCTTTCCACAGAACTCCTGAGCTGCTCGATGCCAGAGGTCCCCCTCCAGCGGCCCCTTGAAATCGTCAAGAAAATCTGATGGATCCACATGCTTGGAAGCGATGACCTCATCGTCGAAAATCCAGTCCACTTCTGAATAACCGTGCCGTGCGAGTCGCGTCCAGCGCGACGGTGTCCGGGGGTCCCACCCTGCATTCACGAGGTAGGTGGCAACTGCCGAGACTGGACCTCGCACGTGACGTGATCTGTCCGAAGGAGAAAGCGCTCTGACTGACTCGGCGAGGCTGCTCCAAATGCGACGAACACCACTGCGGATCTCGGGATACCCCACCCAGGTCGAGAGCCACAGCTTGAGGCAAAGTTGAGGTAGCCTCACAGCAGGGTCCCGACCCTGCGCCCGCAGATCCAGGAGTGTTGTCAAACATCTCCCACGCCGAGTTGCCCCAGCGACTGCGCCGACTTGACGGCGCATGTTCCTCAGCTCGGTGCCAAAGATGCCGTGCACCTGGTGCGCGTGGGCTGCTGAGGCCTGCGGACCAGCCAGCTGCGCGCTTGGTGACGTAGTAACACTTCGATACGAAAGCGTGACCGCGTAGCCGCACGTGTCGAGCCTTCGCCTTGACCACTCGAGCAACTCGAGTGGCTCGAGCAGCTCGGCGACCACCTCCGAGGTCCACGCCCAGGTAGCCTGCTTGCCGAACCGCTTGAATGTCGATGCCTCGCCTCCGTAGCTGTCTGACCACTGCCTTGGAGTCCTTCATGAACCCGCGCAGCACGACGCTCTTGGGAGCGAGGGTGAGCTCCTGCTGATGAAGCTTGTCCCTGACCAGCGTGGCGCCCTCAACCAGGTCGTGGATAATAGATGCGCTGGAAACTCGCTGGCCAATATACAGGTCGCCAACCCAAATCCTTTGACTGGAAGTCACTTTGGCAGTGCACAGCGAGCTCATGACGTTGTGCGTGAGACAGCGACCGAAACGAACCCCGTTTCGCAGGCCTTGCACGATGCTACGTGTGGCCTGAAATGGTTAAGAGTAAGCGCCAAACTGCGAAAGAACTCTGGGCCCCGTACACACTTGGAGCTCTAGTAGGAGGACCACGCCTGGAAATCCTCGATCCACTGCAGCGCTGGCCAGCCTGGTCCACTGTATGTGGTCATAGAAGGACTTGATGCCAATGAGGGCGCACCCATGAGCTGCGCCAAGGCGAAGGTACAGCTCGTGGCCGATGGCCTTCATGAAGGCCTCCTGGAGCGCAGAGTTGCCAGCAATGGCCGCATCCCAGGTCGTGGGATGATCAGCAGCCCGCGACCGCGAGTGCACTTCACGTAACAGCGGCCACACTCGGCACACCATAGCCAGGATGCCGATGATTCTGTCTCTTCCTGATTTCTTGGGGAGGAGCCTCCCCAAGGCAACGAGCAACTGTGTTGGCCATGTCCCAACGTCCTCGACGGTGTTGAGCAGGTCGGTCAGAGCTGCATGCCCTTCGGGAGGAAGGCGTTGCATGTCCAGCGGCGTGAGCTGGTCTATGTCAATGCCAGTTCTCGGTTTCATCTCAGATAAAGCTACACGCGCATCATCCCCTGTCAATTGGCGGCAATGTGTTGACCTCTGCCCAGGACCGAATCAGATGGAAGGTCTGCTTCACCTCCTCGAGATCGAACTTGGGGTCGTGCCGAAGTGCGTGCCATTTCTTACTCTTCTCATCGATGACGTCCCTGGGGTGAAAGACATGCTGATCTCCAGACAAGATCCCGTCCTGCGCCTCAGGGTTGTCCTTGATGCTCCTGTGTAGAACGCCTTGAGCTGGGGCTTTGACGATCCAGTCCTTGAACTCATTCAGTGACGCTTGCATGGCTTTCCGAGAGGCCTTCCTAGAAGCCTTCTGGGCGCCCTGCACGAAATGACCCAGCGGATACCGTGAGTGCTCGAAGTCGCGTCGGAGGAACTGAACCCAGGTGTCTCGCTCCAGAGCTTCGGCAGGGGGAGTGCAGGTGTGAGCGCCGTCAGGTATTTCTCCTGCAAGCCTCGCGCCCACCTGTCCCAAGAAAGCCAATTGCCTGTCGCCTGAACGCCGTTGTCTGTGCCTCTGAACACGCACCAGCACTTGCAAAACTCTAGCCCGCCAGTTCGAAACCTTGTCCCGCAGCGGCGCGTCTCTGAATGTGAGCGCTTGTTGAACAGGCATTGTTTGAAGCTGCGGGTCGGTGGTCCGAGAAGTCGTCGGCAGTGGAATATCATGATGAGCAGAGATGACACATTCCACTTGGGAAACCCACTGAGCGTACATCGCAGACACTTGCTGAATGTCTGGGCCACCGACATGATACGCGACCGAGTCTTGAATCGGTTTCCAACACATGTACTCTACATTGCTTTGTGAAGATCTGAATATGCAGTAGGTTTGCGCCGAATGCCAGCGGTGAGAGGGGATGCAGAAAGGGGGGGGGGGCTCCTTGGGAGAGGCCTCAGTCGCCTTTTCCACAGACTCCAGTGCTGGAAAATCGGGGTCAGTACTGCTGCCGCTGGGGGGCTCTGAAAGGGGCTTGGGAGCATTCGAACCAGACTCTGGGGAGGCGGGGTGCGACACTGCAGAGACTTGAAACCCCTGGGGAGCGTCGGCCTGAGAGTGTCCCTCGGCCCCAGCGCCCCTGGGATGAAAACAGGTGTCGGCGGCCCACGGGTCCTCCTCATCCTCGAAAGGGTCGGGCTCGAACTCAGCCTCTAACATGGGATCCGAAAATTCCTGGAAGCATAAATCAGTCTCCTGCTCTTCGGCAGCGAGAGGGCTATCAAACAAATCACCGGAACGCTCATCTGTTTCTTCTTTGGCTTTTTCCTTGGCTAAGGCGACACGAGATGCTTGCTTCACACGTGCGGTGCTGGACTTCGATCCGACTGTAGGCAGCGTGCCTGGTCTGACAGACTGGGGTAACCTAGGGGCAGTGACTAGTGCTCTCGTTTCCAGCTGCTTACAGGAGTGTCTGAGACGAACACGGAGCGCACAGCGCGGTGACCATGGCACGTCGTGATCTGCTGGGGCATCTATCAGAAAGCTGCTACTGCCAGGGCCTGCTATGACATGAGCAGTCAGACTTTGTCCATTACTCGTGCTGCAAGTGCAATCATCGGGTGCATGGTGTACTTGACCGTGCACACGCTTCCAAAATTGAGAAGAACGCAACTTTTCAGGGTGATGTTGAAATCCCCGACGCAGAGCCAGGGCAGTCGGAGCGAACGCAGGAAGGCGCCTAACCTGGTCAGACGAGCAGCGTTGCATCCTTGAGCTCCGACTGACGGGTGCAGGTAGCAGAGGGCGAGCACGATGGAGAAACCTTGAAGGTGTATTGTAGCTGGGGGGGGGGGAGCCGTCGTAGCTGCCATGTCCGTCAGCGCATTGATCTGAGACATGTTCTGAATCGGCGGGGAACTTGTGAACTTGAAGATGTTGCTTGGCCAGGGGCAGCTCGCCCCCCCTCGCTGGCTCTGCTGCGGCTGGCCTCGCTGCTGCCGCGACCAGTGTCACGCGCGAGGTTGAGGTAGGCCTTCAACTTCTGAGCTTTGAACTTGCCACTCCACTTCTGCTTGAGCGACTCACCGATATGAGTCTCAACAAATGCCATGAAGTCGTACGAGTGGCGAGCCTGCTGAGCGAGCGTATGCGGCCACGCCTTCTTGCCCAGCGTCGCGTGCTGCAACCCTCACTCCCCCCAGCCGAAGATGAAGGAGAGGAGGGGGAACTGGGCGTCGTAGGAGTCGCTGGACTCAGGGCGACGCCCTTGGAGGAGAGGAAAGGAGTGGTGTAGGTCCCCATGCTTGTGTCGATGGCGGCGGAGTCTGGGGCCACGAAGCCCGCCGTCTGTGAAGCCTGTCACGCTTCGCTGCCGCCGCCGACGTCGGTGGCGCTCTTGGCGACCTGCTCAGCTGCCTTCTTGGCCTCCTCGGCCTCGAAGCGCGCCTTGCTCAGCGCGGCCGCCTTCTCCTGCGCTTCGTTGATTGAGGGGCCAGCTGAAGATGCTGATCCACTCCCACTACCTTTGGCGCCTGCGGTAGCCGTGGGAGACGGAGTTGCTGCAGCGCCCGTCTGCTCGACTGCCTGCTCGACCGTCTTCCTTTTCTTGGACGTCCGCTCCACAACCTCCTTCTGCATGGCCTTCATGCGCTCCAACCATGCCTGCATCTGCTCGGAGCGTTCCGAGATCTTGGCCTTCGCCTGCTTGAGCTGCTCCTCGAGCTCCTTGAGCTCGCGCCTCTCACTCTCCTCGATCTCCATGGAGTCCAGCGGCTCGAAGAACGAGGTGTCCCACTTGATCTCGAACAGGTCCTGCTTGCACTCCTGGGAACCGTCGACGCTGAGCCCTGATGCCTGGGCCAGCGCCTTCACCGCGATCTGCCTCGCGATGGAAGCCTGGGCGAGAGTCTCCGCGGTCTCCCGCTCCTTGGCCTCCGCTCTGACGAGGTTCTCGCGGCACTTGATCACGTGCTGCACCGCCTGCGCGTGCTTGGCGTCAGCATCGCGCCAGGTCCCCATCAGCCTTCCGAGCGGCCTCGGGCGGCGGCGCGGGGGCGGGCGCGGCGGCCGCTGCGGTCTGAGCCGCCAGCGACGCGCGCTGAGCCTGCAGCGCCTGCTTGATGGATGGGTCGGTCGTGGCGGCGATCGTCTTGTCGAGCAACTCGGCAGCCTCAGAACCAGCTGCTGCTTTGTTGCCACTGCCGCCACTCCTGCCGCTCTTGCCTCCTGGCATGTGCAGCGTGTCGTCCTTGGCCGACTGAGACTGGTCCTTGGACGGCTTCGGCTTGAAGAGGGCCACGGGGCGGCTGCAACGGCGGCACTTGCCGTTCTCCTTCAGCAAAACGTCGTTCCACTGATGGGTGCTGCAGCTCTTGCATGTGGACCACAGCCGCGGGCCGAGACCAGGCATTCTCCTGACTGAACTGCCTCGCTTTCGTCAGCACGAACGCCTGCGCACTGGGGGCGGGAGGCGTGCTGTCCCCCAAGCACCCCGTGACGGCGCGAGGCTTGGCAGAGTGGGCGTTGCACAAAATGTGACAAGGAAGGAAAAGGAGGCCGTGCCCTCGCCCGCTCGTGCCAGAATGCTTGAGGGAGGAGGAGGAGGGAGGAGGCGGGATGAGGAGGGAAAAGGGAGGAGGAGGGTGGGAGGAGGGATGGGAGGAGGGGGGGAGGAGGGGAGAGAGGAGGGTGAGAGGAGGGGGGGGAGGAGGGAGGTTGGGTGTGGATGGGGGGGAGGGGGTGGGGGGGGGATGGGGGGAGGGAAGGAGGTTTGAGGAGGGGGGGGGGAGGCGGATGGGTGATGATGGGGGAGGACGGGGGGAGGATGGTTTGGGTCGAGGAGGGGGAGTGAGGTGGGGGGGGTGGGTTAGGGATGGGAGGGGGGGGTGGGGGGGGGGGGTGGGGTTGGGGGGATGGGGAGGTGGGAGGAGGAGGGAAAGTGGAGGGGGAGGAGGAAGATGATGGAGGAGGAGAGAGGAGGAAGGAGGAGACGGGATGAAGAGGGAGGAAGAATGGAGGGATGGGGGGTGAGAAGGAGTGAGGGGGAGGGAGGGTGAGGGAGGATGGAGGGGGGAAGGAGGAGGGCGGAGACGGGCGGAGGGTAGGAGGGATGAGGAAATGAAGGGAGGGATGAGGAGGGTAAGGGGTCTTGAGATGGGGGAAGACGGGGGGGAGGAGGGGGGAGGATGCAGGAGAAGGGAGGCGGCGGTGGAGGAGGTCGGAGGGAGGAGGAGGGGAGGGAAGGAGGGAGTGGAGGGAGGAGGATGAGAAGTGATGAAAGGGAGTGAGGAGGGTTGATGAGGGTTGATGAGGAGTGAGGAGGAGTGATGAGGAGTGAGGAGGAGTGAAGAGGAGTGAGGAGGAGTGAGGAGGAGTGAAGAGGAGTGAGGGTGAGTGAGGATGAGTGAGGAGGAGTGAGGAGTGAGGAGGAGTGAGGCGGATGAGGAGGATGAGGAGGAGGCGGAGGAGGAGGAGGAGGAAGAGGAGGAGAAGGAGGAGGAGGAGGAGGAGGAGGATGATGATGAGAGGAGGATGATGAGGAGGAGGAAGAGGAGGCGGATGATGATGATGATGATGATGATGATGATGATGATGAGGATGATGATGATGATGATGATGATGATGATGCTGCTGATGATGATGATGATGCTGATGACGATGATGATGATGATGAGGATGAAGATGATGATGATGATGATGATGATGCTGATGATGCTGATGATGATG